TAAAAGTAGGCATAAGAAGTGAAAATCATCTGTTGCAAACCGAAAAATTGCGTGTAGCTCTTGCCATGCGTCAAATATAACATAATATAATACAATATAATCAAATATAACAATATAATGCAACATAATGGGAACATCACATAACATTAAAATAAGCTACAAATATAGCAGTATGTACTGCAATATAATGCAGATATAACAATATAATACAATATAATACAAATATGACATGATATAGCACAGATCAACATAAATATCACGGCTCCTTCCAAAACAAAGGATGTGCAGGCAAGGCATCAGCAACCAAGTTCCATTTCCCTGTCAGTTGGTTCGCCAACGTGACCGAAGCGACGTTATCACCTAAATTCCCTTTCTTTCCATGCCATAAATGAGGGCAATTTAGATACACATTACAATGCGGAGACCGGTCCCTAGCTTGATAAGTGTAAGGCGTATGACGCACCTTTGACGTCATATTAGCTGGTCCCCGCTTCACAGCATCCTACGGATATTGATCCCTTATCGCTAGACCTACGAAATGCTTACCATCGCACTCTTCGGGTTTTCAGCAGCACTAAGATATTAATTTCGTAACGCTGGCTCATGTTTAAAGAGGTGTGTAAGTGGTCCCCACTCTGTAGTAGTCTAGCGCGGTCCCCACTTGGGAGGGCTTACAAACAGGTTGTGTGTGTGTGTGTGTGTGTGCGTGTGCGTGTGCGTGTGGGTGTGCGTGTGCGTGTGCGTGTGTGTGTGTGTGTGTGTGTGTGTGTGTGTGTGTGCGTGCGCGCGCGCGCTACAGTACTGTTGTAAACATGAACGGCTGTCATATGTGTAAACATTGCTCTTTTCTTTTAACGAGCAATGGATTTCTGGGTTTGCCCTTATTTCGTTCCCTTCTTAAATCACTCTCATATCAATAACGAGCGCAGGTCAAGGCGGTCTATATTCAAAACTGAACACAAGAGAAGAGAGCGTCGTACCGAACAAAGACAGTAAACGGCGGGAACAGAATAGATACATTTGGCGCCGGTGAGACATAACCGGTTCTTGAAACACTGCCATGAAGACGTGATAAGCAAGCACTGAATTAATCACGTACATCCCCCTCCTCTAAGTCTGAGAGTTTACTCTACAGGTTCAGCTTATTGGGGGGGGGGGGGGGGGGGGGGTCAAACAGGTCTCCCCAATCGGGCGCACTGGGTAATGTCGGCTGACACCACAACCGGCACGGCTCTGGTCTCTCGTAGGACCCGAGTCGGGACTGGGCCGCGATGGGGGCTTCTTCAGCTGCCGGGCTGAGGACGCCGAGGCTCGATCGGCTGAGACGCCCAGAGGAACTGCCGATTTCTCCTGAGGACGACTCCGTCTTCGTTCTCGACTTCGTAGCTCCGGGGCTTCACCACACTCGTGACTACGGCCTTTTTCCAGGTCTGGTTCGTCTTGCCGTCGATGGGCTGCATCCGGACAAAATCACCCACGTTAAGGGTCTTCAGGACCCTTCTTCTTGTGTATCTTTCGTTCGTTGCAGTCTTCTTGACCTTGAGCTGTTTCCTCTGGTTTTTGTTGAGGTGAGCTTGCAGAACGAACTCAACTCAACGAACTCAACGAACTCAGGAGATTCCTGGGCATGGTGAACTGTCACGGTACCTCCCTCACGTGACCACGGTGCTTCACCCGCTGCAGAACCTGCTGAAGAAGGAAGTGGCATGGACGTGGAGCGAGCACCATGAAAAAGCGCTCCAGGAAACCAAGATAATCGAGGCGAACGTGAAGCCCACCCACTACGACCCGAGCAAAGAGCTGGTCTTGGAAAACGACGCTTCAGAGTATGGACTGGGGTCTGTGGTGATGCAAGAGGGCAGGTCGGTGGCGTGTGCCAGCCGCACCCTTCCCTAGCAGAGCGTAATTACGCTCAAATCGAAAATGAGGTGCTGGCGGTGAAGTTCGGTCTGGACTACACCACTACACATACGTACGTCCCGTCACGGAGGTAACGGACCACAAGCCGCTCGTCAGCATCAGGAAGAAGCCCCTGGCCAAGGCACCAAAAAGACTTAAGAACATGCTGCTGAACACGCAGAAGTACGACTACGAGCTGATCTTCAAGCCCAGAACGGAGTTCCCAGCTGCTGACGCAATGTCCCGAGCACTGCTGAGCGACACTGGACAAGAAAACACGCCAGTCCACGCGGTGTACACGGCACCGTTCAAGCGGGAGCAGCTGGATGATATCCGGGGAGCGACCGACAGAGACGGCGCACTGCAAAAACTGAGAGAAACAATCATGGCCGGCTGGCCGGCAGAGAAAAACGGCCTACCAGAAGCTGTCGTGCCCTACTTCAACTACAGGGACGAGCTGTCTGTCCATGACTGCATCATCGTGAGAGGAGACCGAGTGGTCATCCACAAGCCAATGAGAAAGGAGCTGTTGGTCAAACTGCATACGGGGCACTCCGGCATCAACTCCTGCCTCAGAAGAGCCAAAGATCTCATCTTCTGGCCAGGGATGTCGAACGACATACGAGAGTACCTGGCGATGTGTGACGCCTGTGCTTCAAGTCCATGTGGTCGAGCACCAGAGCCCATCTTCGCTCATGCTGTACCAGGACGCCCCTGGGGGAAGGTGGGCACAGATCTCTTCCACGTCGAAGGCCGAAATTACCTCGTCACCGTGGACTACTTTAGCCAATTCGTGGAAGTGGGCTACCTGCAGGAAACAGCGTCACAGGCTGTGGTCAGCAAACTGAAAGGACAGTTCGCCAGACACGGCATCCCGGACATCGTCGTCAGCGGCAACAGTCCGCAGTTCCCGAGCAGCCACTTTGCTAACTTCGCAAAGTCCTGGCTGTTTGAGCATTAGTCGTCGAGTCCCGGCAACAGCAAGGGCAACGGCGCAGCAGAGGCAGCTGTCAATATTGTAAAGCACCTCATGAAGAGAGTCCGAGCAGCGGGAGAAGACCCGTGCCTGGGACTTCTCAACTTAAGGAACGCGCCCCAAGAGGGGATGGATACGAGCCCAGCTCATGAAGTGTGTCCTCCAGCACTGGCAGAGTGGTGTGCTCCGTTTAAGAAGCACTTTGTTCAGCTCCTGTGGGTCGATGCAGATTCTCAGGCTGCCATCTGTCTTCTCGTTGACAGCCATTTGGCTCACCCCTGGAGTTGGTTGCTCAACCTTCTCCAGCACACCTTCACTTTCCAGTTTGTCCAGCTCTTCTTTCAGCTTGGGTCGCACAGAGATGGAGACCCTCCTTGTTGGCATGACCACAGGCTGCACTTCAGGTCTCATTTTCAGGTGATATGGTCCTTCTGGCTTTCCGAAGCCTCCCTTGAAATCATCATCCACTTTCAGGTTGTTGAACTGAACGAAGTTGTCTGTTTGAACATTGATCAAGTTCATCTGCTGGCTCGCTCTCAGGCCAAGCAGTGGGGTCAGGTTTCCTTCATACACAAGGAACTCGACATAGTACAGTGGTCCATTCCTGAGGTTTTCACAACCCTCCTGCGCACACCTTCCGGCTTGAGTCGCCTTGGTCCCATGTGCGGAGCATCTTATTGGTGGGTAGGGTGGATGTGGCGCGCTTCTTGGGCAGCAGGTTGACGCTGGATCCTGTGTCAATCTGGAACCTTACTTCTTCTCCATCAACCATCATGAGACCCTTTACGTATTTGCCCTTGGCCTTCCTTTCCACCTTCATCAAGTTGACCCACTCAGGCCTTTCCCTCTCTTGCATCTGGTGCACTCTGTGCTGCGGAGTGAAGCACCTTGATGCAAAGTAGTTTTTCAGGCCACATTTTGAGCATGTCTTCCGAAAGGCAGGGCACAGTTCTTTCTTCACTGGGTGTTGCCTACCACAGTTGCCCACAGTTGCCCACCACTTGCATGATCTCACTCCCATGCCTTGGTTTCTCAGGTTTTGCCTTCTGACATTACCTTTTCGCTCTCTGCTGATGACTTTGTTGATGGCCTTACTTGGCCTCATGGCTCTGTCCTGGGCCTGTGTGCTTTCCGCGGCCTTGCATATATTAATGCATTTGTCCAAGGTGAGGTTCCTACACTTCAGCAGCTCTGTCTGCGCCTTTAAGTTTCTGGTACCCAACATGATTCGATCCATAATCATGGAAGGTAGACAGCTATCACAGAACCCGCAAGTTTTCACCAGTGTTCTCAGCTCTCAGATGAAACTGTCCATTGTCTCTCCTTCAGCCTGCTTTCTGCTGGGAAATATGAATCATTCCCAGGTTTTACTGACTTCACCCACACAGAAACTCTCCATCTCGTCCATGATTTCTTTCACTGTTCTGCCCTCTTCCATTGAGTCAAACCGGAATCCATTGCAGACTTTGAGGGCATCACCTGCCAACGGGTTCAGCACAAGTGCTATCTGCACCTCTTTGCCTAGGCCGTCAAAACCTGAGAGGACAGTATACGAGAACCAGCTCTGCCTGAAAATCTTCCAATTTTCTGCCGCATTGCCTGCCAGTGAGAATGGCTGGGGAGGGCGAACACCTGGAATAGTTACAGGTCTTCGGTTTTCAGTTTCATCAGAATTTCACATTTTTCAGCCCAGTTCGAGGCTGCGCCACGTTCGTCTGAAAATCTTGGGACGTTCGCTGACCAGTGCGGAGAGTATCTCACAAATCGCTATTTATTCTATAGCGCTATCAGAACCACTTTCGATCAATCCCACGGCTGCAACCATATTTCGTTCCTGTGCGAGTACCGAGTATAGCGTGCTAGTAGTATCTAGGCCGAACGGTAGATGACAGAACGTCTCGCGGAGTACAGAAATACAGTCTAGTTCCGACCTCCGACTCGTGTGGACCTTCGCGGATACAGACTCGAACAGTTCCCTTCTTAAATCACTCTCATATCAATCACATTCGCTTTTTGTCCCATTTCCTTTGAGGGTCTCATATGGGGGGGCGGGAAGGGGGTAGTAGGTTCTTCCAGTCTCCTGAGCGTAGGCAATCCGATCGTGGGCATTCCATGCATTGACATTCCGGGCATAAGTCTTCCGAACATAGTTCTTCTCGTCGTCATCTTTCTCAGTTCGGGAGACAAGCTCACCGTGCCTGCTTTGTCAGCAGCGAAATTGCCTCGTCGCTTTATGAGTTACCGGCTCGGAGGTGTGGATGGACAGCCACAGAGGACACCATGTATGTTTTGACGCCTTGAATGCATTTTCATGCGTTTGGCCACCCATCCGCGGTTCTTAGTTCACGCTTTGACCGGTGGCACGTTTACGCACTGAAACTAGGCTTTAACACAATGACATTCACGCACTCTCCTGTTCTGGATTTTTATTGTCGACATTGATTTGCATGAATGTTAATGCATGGCCCAGTTTAATGAGGATTCACATGTCACATGCCTCAGTGTACGCTTCAAAAGGACCCGGCCTAAAAGTCAGACCCCGCCCCTGAAAGCAGACCCCGTATTGTTCAGGAAGGCCCTGGAAAAGCCTTTCCTCAACTTACATTTCTTGGCGCCGCCCCTGTCAGACCCAAGAAATCGATGTGGGGAATCCGCATCAATGAAAAGCCTCCACCAATCTCTTGAGGCACCAGTTAATTGTTCCAAATAGTATCATGCGCAGTATCTTGACCACAAATGGCTATTCATTGAACCATAGCTTATGACTTGTAATGGAGCGTGCTTTGTAACGTTACACCTTTGACCCAGAGACCAGTCATAACTTTATCAACCCGATAGGAAGCACAAATTATTGATACCCATACTTTCACCTTTCTTGCAAGGTTTACTCCGTTGGACGCTGTACGGCAATTGTGGTGAAAACATAACAGCGATCACTTAGAATAAACAACAGTTGCATCAAGAGGTTCTAGTTGCATATAGCTATGACCAAACAGCGAACACGCCCCCGACCAGACACAGAAGTTCCACGCCGGCTAAGGACAACGCTGCGACGCTTTCACAGCACCTCAGCGCGCGTCCAACGTCCCACTTCACGGCACTCGTCTCGTATTCAACGATCACTTGCAGGTCGAGCGCGGCCCCGCCGACCAACAGCACCCGACGCCACCCCTACCCCGGCGTGGGAAATTACTCCGTTGCTATGCGACCCACCAACCGCGTGCTTGCAGTGTTCGCGCTGGCGTCGACTGTATGCGCGCGACCGACGGCCCTCCACTCCACAAATGGACGCCTTCCACTCTGCCCCATTTTGGAAGTTATTTATCATCTTGGATATTACGCACCATGGACATTATGAGCTTCAGACGTTCTGTACCTTGGACAATATGAGCGCCTCCCGCCATCGCTCATATCAACGGCCGCATGGTGGAGGGAATGGTGCCACGGCCTCCGATGAGAGAAGACGCACTGCTGACGATGTACTGCACCCAGCCAGTGGCTTCATATGTGTCTGCTGTGCATCAAAGCCAGCCAGTGCCTGCTATAAATCCCGGCCAGCGCCCTGAGACGGCCGACGTGACAGTTTTGGTCCGCTAAGTAATTTAAGCAAAGCTTTGAAATAATAGTCGAGTGAAACTCCGTCTGGGCATGTCTGAAGTTTGCGGGATGTAACTGGGCTGGCTTATTTCCAGTGTAGTTTCTGGCGTCTCAATCAATCTTGGGGAGCTCGGCAGCATACACGATTGACGGCGCTCTTAGGACAACCCCATTTACAAGGCCCCGGTCCCGAAATGATTTCATAACCACATGGAAACCATTCGTGGACGGCGGACGTGCATGAAAAAAAAAACAAATCGCAGGGTGATGCATCTCGCGCACGTGAGACAAAAATAAAGAACAAAACGAAAAAATCAAAAACGTACACACGCACGTCCACTACAAAAATTAGCCAGATGACACATTTCGCGCACGCCAGGTAAAGATAAACGATAAAAACGAAAACACACGGACAGGCGAACACGCACGCACACATACACCTAATGGTTTCATACCGTGTGCGGTGCAATACCATCGCGAGCTAATCATGACTTTTGGCATGCACCCGAACACGTCATAGATGACCTCGACTGCTGAACTACCTTACAATTCCTAGCAGGAGTGCCTTCACTATACTATGGCTGGTGCTCTCCACAACCCCGCCTTATGCCACGACTCCTCTCTGACTTCTGGATCACAGATTGATTTCTTCGACCATTATCACCATTGACAACACTCAGTTGCCAAAGGTCGCACAAACCGGCCAGGGCACTAATAAACAGAAGCGAAACATTCAAACGCACTCCATCCGTTGACTAGCTTGTTTATAACAGCCGGCGACGAAGATGGCCTCGTCGTCCCACCGCATCACACCAGAGGTACAACTATTACTGCAGAGAAGAATTACGAATCTGTGAGATCAAACAACACATGAACGCTAGTGAAACCAGCCAGATAAAACAGAGTATGGCGATCACCCGTGAGAAAGGTTGCCACGCTTGGGAAATTGACACTGACACAGCACAAACCGCACTGTCTTGACAGGAGCGTCAGCCCGAGGACACGCCAACAGAGGGTGCTGACCAGCCTCAGCGATTGTCACGCGACCCGTCACGGCGTCATGACCCGTGAAACGGAATGTGATCCCGCGCGCAGCGTTGTGCGGTGACGTCTGAACGCCACCGATACGCCGGCATCGCCATCGCCAGGGCTGGAGTCTGCGCCGGACACTGGCTGACGCCGTACTAGCTGCGGCCGTTCGGGAGGCCGCAACTGCCGGCCCGCACTCCATACACCGTGACAACAATATCTGAGCGAATAACGCCAACAACAGCACAGTGCGTCTGCCCGGCATTACAGCGGCAAGGCCGACGACGGCACAAGGTGTACACTACCGCAGAGCGCAGGCTGACCAGCTGGAGCCCCAGCGGCGGGACAGGGGCCAGGGCAGGGGCCGGGCGGCGGCGGCAGGACAGGGCCGGCCGCTGGCTCAGGCGGTGTCGCCGCCGCCCCTCCGTAGGCCGCGGCTCGGCTCCTGGGACCTCGTCTGGCTCAGGTACATGCGCAGGCCGGCGCGGAGCAACTTGTACTTGTTAAGAGACTGGTGCTCCAAATCTGTCGGCGGAGTCAGGCCAATAGCATGCACCGATGATCAACGTCATAAGCGTTTACATGACGGTCCGCGCAGAGCCGCTTGCCATAATATTACCTTTACGCAAAACGAACGATGAAAACACTGTCGCACAGACCTCAAGACGTGATTTTCACTAAATACTGATATTCGCACTACACGCAACATGCATTGTTAGGTGACGCTGCGATAAGCAGGCATCTTACCCTTTAAAACGTTCCCACTGTCTGCAATCGTCCTTCCCTGAGCCTTCCAAATCCGGTAGAACTCGCACATGATGCAGACGTAATACTCGTTGAGTACATCCATTACAGCCAGTCTGAGGTTGCACTCCCTGGAACAGGTGTAAACATACCCTGTCCGCACTGTCCGTCCAAGAAGCTAACAAGTGTCGCAAGGTCTCCACGTAAAAGCTTACGAATATAGATACCAATCTATTCGTGTACCAATTATTGCGGCTAACGTGGTACACGCCGCCACAGACCATTCACGCGGATAACATCAGTCCAAACGATCAGCCGTCACTCCTCTGCACGCAAGAAGGCATACCCATGGCGTCCCGAGTCGATAGAACGATCTCAACCAGCTGGATGCTACCGTCCTAATCTCACGTACCGATCGGGTTACCAACGTTCTCACCCCATCCCGGTCCCACAACAGACGCCACGTTATCACCACTGTGGTGCCCGCGAGCGAGTCCGTTACGTCGCTGTAGCCGTTATCGCACACCGGACGACAGCGGCGCACTCAGATCCATTAAGCCGGCGGGAGTCACTCGCTGGCACACGGCCGCCAGCCCACCTGTTGAGCACGCCGTGGCGCAGGGCGTTCAGCGCAAGCCGCGTGATGTTGATGGAGAGCACCATGAACGGAAAGTTCTGGCGCTCGTGCAGCGACAGCCGGTACGCGTCGGCCGCCAGCCGGCGGTAGAGGAGCGTGCTCAGCAGGAACAGGGCGTTCAGCAGGCTGAGCAAGCCGGCTCCGCGCAGGTCCGTGGCCGGGTCACTGCCCTGCGACGGGATACACTGGGCCGTCACGCACGCGCCGCTGACCGCTGACACGCGCTCCATGTCTGAACTTCGCTCCATGTCTGAACTAGTCACTGCCCTGCGACGGGATACACTGGGCCGTCACGCACGCGCCGCTGACCGCTGACACGCGCTCCATGTCTGAACTTCGCTCCATGTCTGAACTAGTCACTGCCCTGCGACGGGATACACTGGGCCGTCACGCACGCGCCGCTGACCGCTGACACGCGCTCCATGAACTAGTCGGAACTTCCCATCTCCTTGCGAGGACAGAGCGGGAAATGCGTCATCTGGAGCTGTTTCGCATTGTTACTTAACTTGAACACTGACTAAAACACGAACGGAGTTGCTCACGTTGCAGCCTATCGCCCGACTTCAACTATCTAGCCCACATAGCTGAGAAAGGGGAGCGTGGCTAGAGCCTTCTAGTCCTTAGCAGGACAGCAATGTTTCAAATTACCACTCACACCGCTTGCTTCCAAGTACCACTCACACCGGTAGCAGATGTCGGAGCATCTCATTGTGGATGTCACCAGGACCTTCCGATACACTACGAACCTTCGCGATTGCCGACTCCAACTCCACCAAAGTGAAGGGCTCATTGTACGCCTGTGGTTGCCTTGTAAAAAAGTCCACCACGATTTTTTCGCATTGTGCTCTTTGCTGTAAGAACTGTGGGCTCGCGTTTGTACCTTCGCTACGGTGGGAGAGTGCTCGGGCGATCCCGTTAGCCACATCCAACGGATGAGTAGCATGTCATTAACATGCAGCACAGGCAGTGTCACGGATAAAGACCGCCCAGAGAGACGTTTCATCCGAGCCCAAACCTGCGAAGTCGGCATGAATCGGTTGAGCGTGCTTACATACACACGCCAGGATTCACGTTTCGCTTCTTTTATCGTGCGACGGGCAAAAGCTCTCGCCTTTTTAAAAGCTACTAAATTCTCCAGGCTCCTTCTGGCGTGAAAAGCTCGGAAAGCACGTTTACGAGCGCGAATTGCGTCACGACACTTCTCTGTCCACCACGACACAGTAGTGCGACGGGGAAATCCAGACGTGCGCGGGATAGAACCGCTGGCGCATTCTAGAAGTCGGTGAGTAAAATCCTCAATAGAGGGTGCCGCCCTCTCGCCTTCGGTTTGACACAATGTCTCCAGTCGAGCCTCAAACTCACTCCAGTCAGTCTTTTTTAAATTCCGACGTCGTGGTCTTACACCCAACGTTCCCCTTATCTGGAATCGAAGCCACACTGGGAAATGATCGCTGCCCATTGGATCATCTGCCAAAGACCACTGGAGGCTCTCCACCAGCTCGGGACTAGAAATACTCAAGTCAAGCGCGGAAGTCTGACCGGACGGAAGAGTAAAATGAGTACGAGTCCCTGCGTTTAAAATACACAGTGACAAGTCATGGATAAAATGCTCGCAAATCCTCCCACGGGTGTTCGTGCTACCACAGCCCCACGCAATGTGATGAGCGTTGAAGTCATCTAAAAGAAGACATGGTGAACGCAACTCATGCACTTAACAGCGTAGACCGCAGGTTCAACCTCCTGGCTGGCACGCTGTGGTGGACTGCAAGGAGGACACCGCCGTGTGCGATACCGTCAGTTAACACATCGTTGCGAAACAGGGCGTAGCCATTCAGCGTGCAGTGGTGACTAGAAGCCAGCTTGGTCTCTTGCAGCGCTACGGCTGCCGGACAGTGCTTGCTGATGACAGCCCGGAGGTCGAGGGCATTCGCCCTTATTCCTCTACAGTTCCACTGTAAAAAGGCCTGTAAAGGGCGCGTGCTAAAAAGGCGGTTGGAGGTCACATACTAAAACCGGACACGTCCCAAAAGAACTGGGCTGCGCCAGTTGCAGGAGCAGACGTTTCAGACTGAGAGCCACGATTCGATTCTGCAGGAACGCGCCCCACTCTGGGACGAATTCTGGGGCTCCCTCCGTCAGATGGAGACGGGGGACCGGCCGGGGCACGCTCCACGTCAGCGTACCCAGTCCAGGGTGGCGGCGGGGGAGGGCCCATCGGCGGGTCTCTACCGGGCGTCTGGGGGTCAGCGGGGGCCTCCACTGGCCTTATCGGCGATGGTGTACCACTGCGAGGGGCGGGCTCCTTGCTTGCACCGGACAAACGATTGGCCGCCTTAGCACTCTCCAACGCGGCTAAGCGGGCCCGCTTGGCGTCGCGAGCGCGCCTGTCCGCCTCATGCCGTCCCATCGTTTCCACTGTCCGTCCACACACACTCGCCAGTGTCGCCGGAGGCGACGTTGTTGTTCATTGGTGGCCGGAGGCGACGAGGGCAGCGGAGCGCCAGACGGCGAGGACGGCCGAGCCCGCGGACCATGGCCGTGCTTGACCACCATCCATCCCCCCTCCTCCCCCGCCAGCGACTCCGACGACACCTGAGGGGCCGGCGGCACAGCGTTGGTGGAGCAGGGCGCGGCTTAAGGACCCGGAGGATCTGACTGAGCGGGAGTCACCCGTCCCGCCGGCACCACAGACAAACCGAAGGATCGCAGGAGCGCGTTGAGTTGGACTGCTGACATGTGATTGATGCTGGTGGAATGTAGTACAGGGATTTGGGATTTTTCGGCATAAGATACTTTGGGGTGATTAACCTCATACTGTTCACACGCCTCGCGGAAAGAGGTATTCTTCGAGGTTTTCATAGAGATAATTTCCTTTTCCTTCATGAAAGCTGGACAACTTCGATCGAAAGTTGTGTGCGGTACCTGCCCGCGCCACAGTTCACGCACCAGGGCTGCACCGAAGTACACTGGTCTCCCGCATGCTCGCAAGGTGCACACTTCCCACAGACAGCTCGACTGCGGCAGTGTGGTTTTGTGTGACCAAAGCGCTGACATTGAAAACATGGCATCGGATTCGGAACGAAGACTCTGACTTTGACAACGGCCTAGCCAATGCGGATATCAGACGGTAGATCCGGCCGGTTAAATGTTAATATAATGTTGTTTGTAGGGATTTGGTCATCACCCCTCCTGGTCGTGATCCTGCGCGCTGCGGTGACCCCTAACATTCCCAACTCTTCGATGATTTCCTCCTCGCTGACGTCACGAGGGTCATAGTAGTTTATGATGCCTTCTGAGAATTGTTTCGTGTGGTGCGCTGCGACCGTGACTGGCACGCTCACATCTCGTCTTCCACCCTCGGTTCTCGCGGCGTAGACAAATTCAGTGGCTGTCATAGCTCGAGTCGCATCGGTGCCGTTTGCGAACTCCACCTCAATCGCGCTATCTCTCAGCTTATCACAGCGGGTGACTTTTCCGAACCTGTCGCATCCGTTTCGGCGCTGAAACGGTGAAAGCGATGCCAGGTTCTTCGCATCACTCCGGAAGGCAACAATGCGTGGGGTAGGTGGAACCGACTTCTCGCTGCACGCGAAGTTCATCGCAGTCCGTCCCCTTCTCGGGGGCGTGTGTTTTTGGGGTTTGTAGACGCCATACAGTTTAATTGTTAATTTCGGCACCGGGGCTCCCCACCCACCTCGGAACCCAACTGAGGGACAGTCCACTCACCCAGGTAGTGGTGGTGCAGTCAGGGCTACCCTGGTGCTATACGGGGCGAACGACGCCTCCCACACGGCCAGGTGTAACCGGGGAGACCCCTCCCCGTCCCGACCGTGGTTCAGCGCCGCCGCTCCTTGACCCCTGAAGCCGCTGCGCGCGGCCAGGCGCCCGAAACGGAAACCCACGGGGAGCACCCAACCCCAACGCGAGCGACAAGCCGTTAGACCCGTGTGGGGCCCCACGGGCCCCCCCACGCCCCCGGATATCTTGGCCAAAGTGGAGTGTTGGGACGCGCCGTGACTGACCCGCACGACGCGCCCCTCAGCCACCAGGATCCGATCAACCCGGGGACGTGGGTGAGGTGGCACGGCAACCCGATAAAACGAGGATGAGGAGTGGTGATAGGGCCGGATGCGGGAATGCGAGTAATGTTGAGGGAGCGGGCGGGACAAGGAGCAGGAGCTCGCGTACCGGCAGGGTCGCTACGCCCTGAGAGGAACAGCTTGCGCTGTCCATCCGTTACCGGAGCTGGGACCCGAGGGGGCGCTAGTCCCCTACACCGGCCAAAGCCGGTGCCCCTGCGGGGTACAAGGTGCGAATACAAGCATGCAAACGGAACGCACAGTGGACTGGAAAGCATGCAAAATAATGTAGTCACTAAACCAGCCTCGCAAACCTAAATGGGTCAGACTGCACTGGTACTCAGGTACTCATACACTTGCACAAAGACGACCATGAACCATAGATCTCGATTCACTGTGATTTAGTTCTACCTAAAGACAGCTTTTAATTATACACGAGCATTTCAGTCTGTACTTCACATCACTGACATCATGAAACATCACTGTTGGGGGGGGGGGGGGGGGGCTATTTCTTATTATTGATTGATGAGGTGGCTTTTGCATCCCCAATAACGTGATTTACTAACGAAAGAGCGCGACGTGTTCAGGCCCATATCGGACTCATGTACGTGCTCAACGTACCGCGCCGCAGCGCGCCAGGCCATTGCAGTGGCGAGGCGGTGACCTGAACCTTGGAAGCCATCACCTGAAAGCCGATGCTCTCCCAGTGGTGTCCGAATCTGGCGCACTCGAGACGGGAGGCCGTCAACCGCTTGTAGATGGTGGTCAGCATGTGGATCTGGCGAGGCTCGTCGTTCTCCAGCTGGCCTGGTGGGTAGGGTGCGTCTGCGTCAGCGCCTCTCCAGACCGCATTGGTCACGGCGGCGCACGCTGTCCCACCGCACGGCTGCAAGGCGCAGAGCACTGGTACGCCCGGACCGGCACAGACATTCTCGTAAACCGTTCCTTGGAATGGAACAATGCATTCCGAATGAGGTACTTGATGCCTCATAACAGCCGAATGGGATGTACAGCATTGATAATGCGGCCTACGACAGATAGTTAATTTGCTACAAATGGATATACAGGCTTGCGATTAATTGCCAGCGCACATCCCACTGCAAAGCTCCGTAGTTCCTTTACAAGGACCTCCGTTCTTTCAAAAATGTACGTTCGCAAAACTGCACCTGCACAGCATGCGTTCCACCACCAAAAACAACTAGTGACAAGCCTCCCCACCCCGACCTTCTCGCAATTAATTCAAGTTCGCAATTAATTTAGGAATTAATTTCGGAATTCAGAATTCCGAAATTTTCGGAACGCCGCATAGAAAGACACGGCTTAAAACTGTTGATGTCTTCCCAGCCACTGACCACTCGCAAAACACCAGAAACAGCGTGGAACGTTCAGGTATGACAGAATACCAGTCAAGTTAAGTGCCCCTTCACTCCGGAGGAACAAGCGTGTTCTGGACACACCATGCTTAAATGTAATCGCGACCACGTCAGAATCAACACATTTGGTTTGTTTTGCATTCTTTTAATTCGTTCGTTCCAATAGCTCTATTAGTCAAGCTACTGAGTTCCGATTCACGCACCCGTGGCGGGCTGAATTCGGGCCGCTTTTGCCCTGCCTGGGGTGACCTGCGGCCGATGGCAACGGTCGCGCTAAAGGTCAGGAGACGGCAGAGGGCAGGATGGACCGTGCCGAGCACCGCAGCGTCTTTCGCCACACAATTCTGCCGCTGATCCGGAATCTCACGCTCGGATGGTGGGTACACGCCCAAGGCAACATGCACTACTTAGCATGAAAGTTAATGCCTGCAATCTATCCGATCAAAAGGTTCGTATCAATTAAATCTCCGAAAGACATATAAGTAATAAATTATAACAAATTTTGTCAGAATAACAAGGTGCGGATTCTGGCACAATAAAACAATATCACCTCTCGATCGCACAAGTGTGTCCCCGGAAGCAAGAACCAGACGAGAGCCCGGCGGTGGTTATCCCAATGGAGTGCAGTACTATCATGAGTGCCGCAGATCGTTCACGACTTTGCATTGAGAATACACAGACACGCACACAAAGATTATTATGCCTGAATACCAATTGTACACAAAAGGAGCCCATCAAGAAGATCCAGTAGTGACTGGAGACAACATGCATATGTCCTCACATTGAGCTATGGCGAATATTCTGTCTCTCTCTGGTACAAGTCGTTTATCGAGCTGAGGCGGCCCCAGCAGCCTACAGAGAATTGATCTGCAGCCTCCCTTTCTCTCCAACGTTGGCTGGATGCTGGTCTGCAATCAAGCGTACTCCTAGGCCATGCAATATGCTTAATGGAACCTAACGCTGCATAGGGAACAACTTTGAGAAAAAAAAAACATTCGGTCCAAAATATTGATGGAAGACAACAGGCCACAGGCGTTGCCACAAGAGAGGAACGCAGTAGGGTAACTTTTACCCCAGAATCTCAGAACTAAACCTACTAAATCCAAGATTTTCCGATATCTAGAAATGGGAAGGCAGAACACAAGTGGGGTCCCAGTGGCCCAGCATTACAGGTGATAAGTTTGCGTTTCTTAAGCTTAATGCTGTAAGTCATACAATTTGAAAGCATTTGTATCATAAATGACTTCAATGAGCAAGTTCGAATTACATAGTGACGCATCAAAATATCGCATCAACTCAAGGTTACATGCCTCACCATATGTGCAGACAGATCCTTCTCCTTGAAATAGATCCACATCTCCGAATAATCGACACACGATGCCGAGGCAGAGTGGTTGTCATCAGCGGTGTCCTGGCCCTCCATGCACTGAACCTCAGGCAAGGCACTCCACTCATCTGCTGCCGCCTCATACTCCAGCCTGTACGCAGTTTGGCACCAGCAGGCAGTTAGCTGCCATATACAACTGGGCACAATGGCAAGACCCAACTGTCCACTCCCCAAACAAGAGAATGAAATCACAGCTATTTTCTGTTCATAACAAACAGCCAGTAAGGTAAGGTGAGGCTCAAGTCATGCCGATAGCATTAAGCATTACTTAACAATAACACGAAACGCAGAAGGTAAAGCAATACAGCAGCTTCAACTTGAATGAAGTTAAACTTCCGTGATAAATGAGGACGCCTCTGAGGCCTCTCCCTGGCGGTGGTGTGGGAGAGGCTCGATGCGACCTCCTTTCTCCATTATGTCGTACAATCACGCCCGGATTTTCGGTAACCTCTGGGTCATCCATTGCGCGAGTCTTGGCATCAAAAACGTGTCTCTGGTATTTCTGATTTCCGGGGAGCGACGGTTTTTAGGGAATACTGAACGGCGACCGAAGGCCGGCGCGGGCGGCGCGGGCGGCGCGAGCGGCGGGCGGCAGTCGACAAATCCGGGGACCACGCATGGCAGGCCGACACTGTCATATTAACACAACGTTGTATCATACAGATATGCTCCAAACACATAAAACTACATACCTTTGTACTGATAATTAACCAAGGAACAGGCTGGTTCCGGTTTCCTGATGTTGCTGGTCATGCTTTGGTACGCATGAGCCTGTAAAACTGAAATAATTCGATTTCCCAGAACGTGTGACCCAAAACGGGTCAATTCTTGACCTAGCACCCTAAAAAATCATAACCATCCGCGAGATCTCGTTGAGACCAATGGAGTTGTCTTTTCTTGAGTCTTCATCTTTCTTAGTTTGAAAACGGCAGAAAGCCCACATTCCCAATCAGCCCACATTATAAAAACTTGCGAGTCAGGGCGAGGGTTCATACGCACTCAGGCGAGAGGGGTGTCAGTCTGCCCCCCGATCGCTTTTCCAGAAGGGCTTGCGGACGATGCGACGAGTCCACACTTAACTTTACCTGGAGCTTCAGGCAGTTGATTTTTTATCAGTAATCAATATACCTTGCAAGGTTAGTGACCTATGGCACTGGCAGGCCAAAGTCAGGCCACACCTGTTGGTGAAAGCCCTTCCTTAGGAATGGTGCAGTCTGACATTACAACAGAGTGTTAGACAAAGCCACCCGTCTTTTCCTCAGACGATGAGAATGTATGATTACCACCAAATCCATTGACTGAATCAGGTATCAAGGTCAAACTGAGGTAAAAAACCATCCACTTTTATTGGAGAATGCCCTTTGTCAGGCAGTTTTTAATACCCAATTCACATACATCTTATATTAACTTTTTGGAGGTCAAAAAGGGTCACAGGACTAAAATGACCCTTATGAAACTTTTGTTTTAGGAACATACTACCAAGGATAATCCTTGTAACTGATCTAAATTCCAAAATCAAAACAATCTAATGGGGCTTCACTCACCTTGTCTTCTCACTGTCAAATAACGCAAATGACCAGAGGTACTTTTGGGATGCAGGGAAGACATGTTAACCACCCACATTTCATGAATAATCATACTATTAGATGTAGAAAACAAACCAGGCTTTGAGTGCAGGAAAATACACCAGGTTCTAAGTGCTTCAAGATGACCTCCCAATGTCCCGGGCAGACATTCAGCCATGGCATAACGCCAATTCATTTTTGTGCTACAATTTTATTGAGAAATAGTTGACAACTCCAAAACATCATTGAACTGTCAGGGAGGATACATTCGTCTGGTGAGTACGCAAAGTTCACATCTGCACAGCATCTTCTTCAGGTGATCTGAAAATTACAGATAATTCTAATGAGTTCTAACAAATGGTATCTCCAAACTAATGCACAAATCATCTACTATTGCAGGTAGCACTGCATGTTAAACAAGTGATAATAAAAAACAACACCTTTTCTTTAGCCTTTCAGCTTCCTCATTGTTCACTTGATTCTCCAGATCCTCATCCTTAGCTGCCTCCATAGCAATAAGACCTGCCAATATTACAGCAAATTAGTCAGACCCAGAACAGGTACGAAACCTATCTGAAAGCAAATCACTCTGGAATTGCTAGGTGCCATTGAGCGACCCACTCCCAATTGCAACAGACAACACACCAATTCCACTATCTTTATACTAAACACTGGGAAATTCCATGCCAGCACGATAAGAAACTGACAATGTGCATATAGATTGACACAATACCTGGCAGCTTGTAAAAAATCTGAGTGCTCAAACTTTTGATGAACATGCAACTTTTCTACCATTCATAATTTTACTGCTGTACTGAACAAGTTCAGTGCCACATGTACTTTTGGCATAATGCTCTCTTAGCATTCGTGTTTTGTAATCTGTCTAACTGCAAAACATTACAATATGAATGTGAATTTCCTGTCTAAATGCAAACAAAACAAAACAGTAAGAGTCAGGGTAAACATTGCTACCTCATGTTAAAAAAGAGCATTGTACATCAATCATCGTTCTTGAGGCAGAACATGTCGTAATTAATCTAAAACAGGTCATCTAAACTCTTATCTTGGAACTTGAATACCTATGATAGCAAACACCCAAGCGCCACAAACACGCAGCAACCGCGACTCCGGCGCCATTGCTATGCGTGATCACAACATTACTGTGTGATCATAACATTACTGTGCATCAAGAATGATAAGAATGTGCAAGGTCAAGGTAACAAGAACCCAATGAAATATGTTTCTTGTGTATCCAAGCAGTCTTCCATATTGTTTGTAGATTGGTCAATGTGGTGGGGAAACATGATGTTTTTGTTGGGAAATGAATAGCAAAATGAGAATATAGTGGCTCAATAAAACCTTTTAATACAGTACATATATGGCATGGAACATGGAATGCCAATGGGACACTGGGTTGAAGGGGATAGGGTGGGGGGTTAGGTTAGGTTAGGTTAGGTTAGGTTAGGTTAGGTTAGGCTAGGTTAGGTTACATTAGATTGTTAGGTTAGGTTAGGTTAGGTTAGGCTAGGCTAGGCTAGGCTAGGCTAGGCTAGGCTAGACTAAGTTAGGTTAGGTTAGGTTAGGTTAGGCTAGTTTGGGCCATGTTCTGGACTATTCTGGCCTGCTTGTTTCATAAACATACCTAAACACAATAAGAAATGTTTTTCATTGCATTATTATTGTCACCTTGGCCACATACATTTTATATGGTTCTTGACAAGCAGAAATATCATAATTACGCAACGATACCAGCAGAAACGTTGCTGGGGAGTCAAGGTGGTTGGGTGCGTGCAGCGCTTGGGAGCTCGCTATCATAGTTATTAAAATTTGAAGGTAGGAGCATGAATCTACCTGTAATACATTTATATGTTCCGCCTTAAATACAATGAATGATGTACAATTATTTTTTCTAACATTAGGTAGCGAACGTATACCTACACACAATCTGTAGTCTAATTTAATCACTTGAGCCGATTGCAAATGCTAGTTGCAAGTACAGTCGTTACGACAGATCAAAACGCGAGTACTGCACGGGCCGCGCCGAACACTCTCACCGCGGTCTGTCTCACGCCCTTGCTTGGTATAGGTCTAGTACCAAGGTATACACGACCATTGCCCTGGACCCTAAACTAGACCACCGTTGGCCTTGCTTCCTCGGAGCAATATATGCTGGCCTCTATCCATTCTAACTTTCTCCAGCGTTCATACGCCCGGCGTCTATCAGACCATCAGACCTCAGTGCGCCATATATTGCATCATTCGCGTCGTTATGGAAAAAATCGTGAGCAGCCTACTTGGGCCATTTTAAAGGAACCCTTCAGAGTGGCAAAGGTATTTTCCACGGCGCTCCTGTAACGCGGCTTATTTGATGTGTGCGTGCCATCATAACGTTGAACGTACGTGGTGGGACTTAGCTGAGGGGGTGTCACGGGGTCATAGTCCCTTATGAAACGAGTTCTCTGTGCTAGATATGGAGCAGCTTCGCCGGAAAACAGAGTATGAACAGATTCGACATTTGGCCCCTTCCTGAGGAAAATTTTGGCTACACTCCTGCATTTTTGTGTATTGGCCTTCTTAACATGATGGTATCTGCGGAGAAATCTTCTTTACTTCTGTCGATGTTTTCGTTTACGTCGTTTTCTTTTTTAAAAAAAAACAAGAACACATTGCCCCTTCTTTCCACCACTGGGTACCGCTCCGTGTTCCATACGGTCAGCCGTGAAAGTGGATATCCGGTCATCCACGTTCAACTGAACACTGTCATCGAATGTAACGAAACCCAGCAACAGCAAAATTATAGGAAGGGCTTCCATTGTCGGCACAACATCTAATTCCGTTTGAAAATCATCCTGCGTACTGTCCATCCCCATTCACTCGACCTACTATCAACTTTCCCAGACCTACCGAATGCCCATGTGCTACAAGGGATCGAAAGATCCATAGCGATCGTCTCATTTTTGTATGCCTTTTCACTAACTTAACTAAGATGTTTTTTTAAAGCGAGGTTTTCAGCCGCGCGATGGTCACAACGAGCCGAAACCTCTCAAACCAATGCCAATAAAAAACAATGAACTCGTAATCAACGAACTTTCAAGTTCAGTCGACTTTCCATTGGAGTAACGACATAGCTTACACTGTCCGTGGTAGGGAATGCCGAGGAAAAAGTGACCAAGGCTAACGTCATCGTCGTGTACCCGGACAGGCTCGGTTCTTCCATTACTTCGTCGCCAATTTTGCGCGCATCCACAATGGCCTTCCCAATATCGGAAAACTTTCCTTACCCTTGGAATCGGTCTTAGAGTTTCAGACAGAATACGAAAAGTTTCGAGCGTAAATTCGATACAATTCGTTGCATATAGGATGGCGCGGGGACAGAATCCTGCCGACCTGCCCAATGAGCGGGACAGTGCACTCTGCAGCGACTAATAGAGCGAGTGCATAATGCAAAGCTCAGAAAGTGTTCATCTGGTCTTCAAACATTCATAGGCTAGGTAGGGCTGGTCTAGGATGGTTTCAGCAGATGGGGCATGTGCAATTTCACCACTGAGCTTTTTTCCTCAATTTTGCAACAAAATGCTTCGTTGGCCGGCCGCCATTACCGACCCTGCGTCTTACAGCAGTTCCACACCAACCAGACCACACTAATGAACTCGGGACATGCGCTTCACCCACTTGTCATGCCACTACGATTCGAGTCCTATACTATCAATTTATTTAGGATAATATCTAAACGTTATAAAATACATTAACACAATACAACAGATAATATTCAAGTCCTTTTTATGCCGTGAGTCATTTAGCCAACTACCAGCTATCCCTGTTGCAGCGTCCGTGTACCTGCCAAAAATATCGCACAGCACGAGACACACCAATCGGCTCCGCACACACAACGTCGCTACTTACTCTTCTGGGTCTTGGGTGCCTTTGGCCCTTGGTGAAAGCGATTTACTTACCAACTGCAGCTGGTTTTCGTGCAAATAATCAGTTCCCCGGGGCGCCAGTTTGGATCGCGACCATCGGTTAGCCCGGTCTTAAGTGTTTGGGCCACTCCAAGGTAACTCGCGTCTGCGTCCAGTGGCGCCTAAGCGTGTTATGTAAATGACACGCAAGGGTCAACTACTGAACATACACCACATATGAAGTGCTTTAAGAGTAGGTTCAAAAAATGTATTAGCATCACCACTTATCACTGCCAGGTCCACTGTCGACTGCAAGTTACTAATGTGATCTGGAAATCAGTTGAATCACACGGCAAACACGTGATAAGAACGCTATATGACACGACTATTAATGTAAACTACAAGTACGTCTTAGTGGGAAGTAGCACAGGCGAACAGTCACCACATTATCAAACGAAAACATCTATCCGTTAAAACTGAAACAAACATTTAATTGGTCCATATCCCGATTTCTCCCCGTGGCGCAACACTGATCACATCAAATCACATACCATCATGATCAGAGTGGACAGCACAACAACGAACAATACGACCGAGCGCGCGTCTGGGCCCTACCTACCCAGGACTCGCCAGTAAAGCTCTGTGTCAGTTCGAGGCGCCGCCGGCGCACCCTCCCCGACCTCACAGCAGGGTGACAGCTACGCTCTTCCTGCCGTCCCTCTCCGAGCTCTCGGCCAGCTTGGAGGCCTGCTCCACCACTATCACGACCTTCTTCTCCCTGGCGCCATTGGCGGCCGGCGCCGCTTCATTCCGCAGCTGCTCCGGACTATCGTCGGCAACCGAGTTTGCGCCGGCCGCCGCCAGCCGTGCGAGTGGCGCCACCGTCGCGGCGTCGCCACCGCCCTCGCCGCGCCGCCAGCGCGTCAGCACCTTGTCCAACCGCTGCACAAAGCGCTCCACGTCGCCGGCGGTGATGCCGACGGCCGCGGCGGCCGTCAGGTAGGCGTGCGGGTACCGGCTGTGATGGGCACCCCAGCCTGCGGCCACGCGACGCGTCACGACCGGCCCGGCAGCCGCAAGCCCACGCACGCAAGACACGAGGATGTTAGTAGGATGAGGGGGGGGGGGGAGGGGGATGAATACTTTGCTACACATCCACAATAAAAAATGAAAAAAATCACGACAGATTGGCAAAGCGGATAGGCAGAGTTCATTACCATGTCCATCTCAAGCAGCACACCTAATGTTATTTTTAGTCACATCATATGAAGCAAATCCTGTTCTGATAACACTGCTACAATCCCGTTCACCAATAACACTTTTCACGGTTCCTAATGTCGACCAAGCGTGGCGGATGACGACCCCACATGTTTTACTCCCAGAGCCAAGCACAAAGCTCACAGTCGTCCACAAGGGAAGAAGCAAACAACAGTATCAGGCAATAAACTCTCACCTTCAAACGTGTGCCCTGAAATGACCTTGTTGTCGCCGGGGGCGATGACCCTCGTACCCGACACACAGCGTGTGTAGAGCATCGAGCCGATCTGGGTCAGGGCCGAGCGATCGCCGCCGCGACCCGTGAGCGTCATGGCTGCGAACAAACACGCCACTTACACAGAAACACAGCATATGACACCTTATAGCTTACACGCTCATAGTCCGGCCAGGACCAACACGTGACGAATGTGTTCACCGCTCTCGGTGTGTTGATGGTAATATTACGCATTTGGGGGCGCATCAACTGCGTGGTCATTAAGCGCTCTCTCGGGAACCGTCGACCCCACTGTACTCGGCCTGCCCTTCAAATTGCATCTTCAATTGTCTAAAAATTCTGCACACCCACGCAATCGGCTGACTATAACCGATGCTAAAATCAATGCGCGCTACAAGATGAAAGTACGTCGACAATGTGGCAACATGGGCTCCGACCCAAAAGCCGAGAAAGCAGCGCCCGGGAGAACTTTGTTTTGTTCAATCCCACCACAGAATGGTGTTGTCTCACGAGGGGCGGGAGGTTTTCATGGATGCGCACCACCATTACCACACTTGCTTATCTACACGCCCACGCTTTGCACGAGCACCCAGAAGCAGGACTGCACGGACCAGACCGGCCGCTTGTCTACGCATATTTGCCATGTTCCCAACAGCCAAGCGCTCGTGATGTGTAGTTATCGGCCTTCAGCACGCTAATTGGACACTGTGGGACGCGTACCAATCGATATCGGGTTATTCCTGGTGACCAACACCCGCTCGCCGTGTTTCTCGGCTAGCCGCAACAGACTCTGCTGTAGCTCGCCGAACAGCTGCTTGCGTTCATGCAGCTTCTGCTTCCAACCGTCAGCGCCCAGCGATAGGAGAGTGATGAGAAGATCCACAGACGGGGCCGCCGATGCCCGACCTGCGGAGGACAGCGCCGAACAAGACCTGGCCACGCGTGTCACCCGTAACAGTCACCAATGACATGCGACAAACGGTCCACAGACTAGCCACGCCTGTCACCCATATCAGTCACCATTAACATGCGTCAAACAGTCTACGATCTGGCCACGCGTGCCACCCATACCAGTCACGACCGGCACGCGTCAAACGGTACATATAGCAACAACATAAATGACACCAAAGGCATCCTCGCACACTCTCGGTCCTTCGCAGCCTTTCATCGGCATTGGTGCTCCTCCAGTGTCTACACTTACCAGGATAGTTCTTGCTGATGCCTTCTACTAAGACCCTGTCGAAGCCTGCGACAATGGCGCCTCCCACAGGCACCATGAAGTTTTTGTCGGTGCTCTGCACCACGACGTCCACCCGGCCGGTCCTGTCAGGCCAGCCAGTCCAGTCAGCTCCTCAACACGCGTCAGGTCACAGCAGACAGAGGGCGCACATTGATGACCCTCGTGCGCATGGACACCGGCCGGGGGCAGGGTTCCTCGGAGAGCTCCAAGTGACAAATTAGCTGCTTACGACAGGTGATTCTGACGAATGTCGTCGGCTTGAAACGTCAGAGAGTAAATTGGCAACTATTTTCTTTTTAGACACATTTGCGTGACGACTAACTGAATTTACATTTCAAAGCATCGAACAACATTACGGAGGATGGACGGAAGGAATTCCAGGGGAAGAATGGGGCAAACGGTTCACAAAGGAGCCTAATTTTCAAAAAAATCCTTCAGAAAACGTAATGGCCGTATCATCTGACCAACGTACAGGTCATTTTTGCCACATGATCAGATCTGTTACCTCACTTCGACGGCGGCTTCATCAACATACTGAAGGCGTGTCTGTCACCACCAAACGTACCCAGAGGTATCTCCACTGGGAGCCGCCATCTTGCCAGCCCCCGGCCGCACCGCGCGGCGGCTGCAGCGCTCCTCACCTTGCCGCCTGCTGAATCTCATGCATACACTTGGAGCTCTGCACGCCATAGGCGTTGTTGATGACGTGTGGGATGGCGTGGTCCCGACATAGCGCGCTCAGCTCCTCCAGACGATCGATCCCACGCGGCGCGAAGCAGCTGCAACACGGCGTCGGCCGGCAGCGGGTCACCACGCAGAATGCACCACCAGGCCACGAGACCGTGCAGTGGTGCCACAGACGATACCAGAGCAGCCACCGACGTCACACTAGTCGCGCGCGCGCTCTTCCTCACCTGGTGGTGCTGAGCACGCACAGGACGTTCTCGGCGCCCTTGGCGACAATAGCCCGCTGCACCTCGTCAATGTTTGTCCGCAGCTCGTCCCCGTCCAGCTCATTCTCGATCACGATCGGCTCGAAACCTGCGCGACGCAAGCTGAGCTGAGCTACAAAATACGGCTGTCACAAGGTCGCCGTGACCGGTGTTGCAGTCACGCGCCGGAACTTTGGCTGGGGGGAGACAATTGTTCATGTTTACTAATTATTGTTGTTCTTCGACGCGCGTTGCCAGACTCCAAATAAAACATCCAACAGAGCCGTGGGAGGATACCTACCCCCTTACAACAGCGGGCGCCCCCGTGCCTTCCACGTGCCAGCCGCCGGTTCGGTACTGCCATTGGTCGAGACGCCGGACTGCGGCGCCGGTCAGCCGCCTCCACTCGCCTGCCGTGACGATGGCCTTGAAGCAGGACTTCTGGTCGATGCGCGGCCAGAGGACGTAGCGCGCGCGCGGCCGGCTGTGGCGCAACGTCAGCAGACACAGCGTCACCGTCATGCCCGTCGCCATGGGCACCATGAAGCAGGAGCGGACACCGCGCAGACCTGGCGGCACCACGGTCACTTGCTACACACGGCGTCGCGGCAGGCCCCGCACCACTAGGCGTTCAGACAGGAACGTTCCCCACACCCTCCCAGCCGGCTGTATCGGCGCGAAGACAGGAGTAATACTGAGCGACTAGCGCCCGCCGTAGGTCGGCCCGTGGCAGCCTGCAGCGAGGGAGCTGGCGGCGGCTGCCGGCCGTTACCTGGCATCCTGAGCGACTAGCGCCCGCCGTAGGTCAGCCCGTGGCAGCCGGCGGCGAGCGAGCTGGCGGCGGACCGTCGGCCGTTACCTGCCATCCTGAGCGCGTCCAACGCCAAGTCGTTGGTGAGCCGGTTGATGATGCTGGAGCCGGCTGCCTTGGGCTGGGGCTCGGTCAGGTCACCAGAGCGGCCGATACCGTGGCCCAGATGGAAGTGCCGCCGGGAGACCAAGGCTGCAGATGGGCCGGGTCAACGGTCACGCGGCGAGCGATGCAGCTGGGAGCCTCTGTGGCGATAGTCTGGCAGTTTGTGACATGGTTACAAATCGTGCAGCTTCAGTCGACTTGTCACGACATGAACATGCTGCGAGCAGGAAGTCAGTACGAAAAACAGCGTTACAAAGGGCCTCCAAAGCTGTAGGATATGCGCCGACCTTCGCACGGCAAAATCGTACGACCTTTAAAGGTCAAATCTGGTAGCAAAACTCAAGGTTTGGCCAGGCTCGACCTCGGATGCCCTGACCTTTAAAAACAGCAAGAACACTAACATTTTATTTTGACATGTACCAACATTTTATGTTGACATATGGTCACCAAAGGGAGGTCACTGACCTCAAATAACCTAGACCAACCTTTTGCTGTTGGGAACATGCAACACATGGTATCTATTGATGCTTATCCAAAATTCAAATAGCAAAATAATTTTGAAGGTTCATGTCATCTAGCCCTTTGGGCACAAAATCAGCAATGCAGTGAATGTACTCTAAAACACCAATAGCAGTGGGTCATTGCTTCCTCCTCCCTATGTAGAGCATCACAATCAGCTGGCCACCAAGAATGGGTTCATTCATAAGCCCTTTAAAAAGCTTGTATGGGGCTTATAGCAAGTTTGATGCAGTCTTTCTCACTGCGACTACAAATCGAGAAGCAGACACTGCAATGCACCATGTATACACACGCGAGTAAACAATCTTAAGAATGATACTGTAATACTTAGTCCCAACTTCCATTCTCTGGGTCAAAAGCAAGTGATAATGAGGCCAGACATGCACATCTACTACGGTGTGACCCAAAACTCTCGCAGCAAAATGCACGAATAGCATATGCTTGTTTTTGTTCATATTGTATGTACTGGACCATCTGCACTCCTTTGCAATGCGCCTGTGCAATGTGAGAGGTCCCTGTACTACAAATATCATAAGAAACCAACACAGCAATTCACTCCAGTGATCAACAGTACTCCAGCATTCCTAAAATACCTGCCATGGCTGTGTATTGGTCCCACAGGCTAGTACAGGCCTGCAGCGAGCAGTCCTCGCAGGGTCGAGGGAACACCACAAGTGGCCCTGTGCTGGCCCAACAGATTGCTGCCACCTGAGCATGCTGCCAACATGCTCACACCATGTGAAAACTCACCTGATGCCACTCTGGCCTCACGCTCCCCCACACCACAGTTTGAAGGGAAGTTATTGGAGTCCATCAGAGCAAGTTCACTGAGGAAAGACTCAATCTGGTTGTCTGGCCACCCTTCTTCAGGAATCTTCCTCTGAAGTCAATGATGCCACAGGTGAGTTCAAGAAAAGAAATTGCTCCACTAGGTAAAAATTGCAACAGCCAATGAATGATAGCTGGAAATCCAGCAAAAGGGATCAGTTTACAGACTACAGCACATTTCACCAGGCAAGGTTCTTCACCAGATGGTGATGTAGCAGGACTGGGATAATAATGTCATGTCACATCTGTGCAAGGCCTCTAGGCTACCAGATGTGCCTGAAGAGCAGAGTATTTCAAGTCAAGTTAATGCACATTTAATTTCAGAGGTGTAAAAGGATCACCATGAATCAAACTTTGCATGCTGTTCTTTTACATGATGCATGTAAAACTTTGCATTGGTTCAATATGGTGTCCATTCCTATGAAGTCATAACATCTGCTGTACTGACTGTATTATGGAATGTGTAATTCTGATAAATGATTTTCTGGCAGTTTATCATCACAGCTAAGTTGTCAAAATGCCTATCTACACCCACCACACAGAAGTAATTGGCCTGGACTGGCCATCTGACCTCACCCTTAAATGAAAAATAGGATAAGCAGACCTTACTCAATATCAATGCATAACAGAACAGGAACCATGAGCATGCAGGGTTTTTGGGGCATGGCACAAAGCCCTCGTGACCAATTATCCATCCTGGAAGCCTAATGGAGCACAACCCACACATACCTGTTCAATAAGCACACGGAACATGCTTGCTCGTGCTTCCCTGGCATCCTTAGATGGTGCCAAAAAGGTCTTTGGCACCAGTTTTGAGGCTGCTTCCAGAACCTGTTCATTCATTGTTATTGCACCTATGTTTGATGGCAGCCTGAAACAGGCAGTCACGTTCATTAGAACTGATGTTCACATTGCCTGTTGGGATTTACCCCAGTGATTAGTTTCAGCTAAGTGGCATTGTACACTGAAGATAATGATTAGTTTTTAGCTTGTATTATAGTTAATATAACACAACAAATGATTTTTAACCCCCCACAGCTGACTACAGTTTAGTGTCTACAAGCTCTCAAAGTGTTCCAAACAAACTTGTAATGTGAAAAGCATGATGCTACTCTCTCTGCAAGCTGATTTGACATGGCTACCTGACTGGCTTGTTCACATACAAATTGTTGAGTTGCAAGGTAACTTGCAATATCTGGACAGTTAACTAACTGCTCATGACTGGGTCCACCATAGGGGAAGGGAGAGAAAAGGCTTCATTATTATTGTTCATTACATTTTCTCAGTCATGTTGTGTGAACTAGGATGCTTATAAAAACCTTGATGCCTGCCCCTTCTAGTCCATAGTGCAGCTATTGCAGCTAAGTATTAGCCTGCTCTGTCAGCTGGGACCACACTGAGGTGTCCATGTTGGTCCAAGCTCTCATTCTCCCAAAGTGCCCTGGCATCTACACTGCAGAACTGCTGACATCTGGCCAAAACTTTTAGGAATCTTAACTGTAGTTGAAAATCATAGGGAACAGAGATACAGATTACATGTTGAAAAGCCTGTGTTAAATCACTTTAAGATCCTGTAGCTGCAGCTTGTGGGCTGGCTTACAACCTACAACCTATATTCAAGTGTTCAGCTAACTCTGGACCATGTTTGGCACACAGAGTTTGGCACCCAAACAGTGTTCCCACAGTTAAGCACACTGTCACCATCAACTTCAGTGCACAGGGAGTCTATGTTTCAAAGTATTATGATGGTGCAAAGGAACAAAATTTTGGGAAAAATGCCTTGGAAAACTTCAGAATTCAGCTCAAACTGGCTGGCCTAAGTTCACCAAGGGCTGGTGTAAAGTTCAGCCCACCATTGTCATATGGGTGTCAGGCACAGAGGTTGCCTTTTGCAGACTAGTCGCAGGCCAGTCTGAACAATATGAATGCCTCAACATGTCCAGAATAAGCATAACATGCCTGATGTAGCCATCACGGCAACAATTTCAGTGCACTGTGCATGCAAGCTATCAATGCAAGCACTCAGAATTCCAAGCACTCAGAATTTGGCACATAAACACATCCATTTATTCAGATTTATTTGTTAAACGCATATCCTCAGGCAGATATACTTTGAAAATGTTTTCACACACATGAACCGAAAATTCAAGGCCAATTTGGCCCGGCCTGAGCTTGGCGCATAAAATATCACGTAGGCGTCCAGCGCAGTGGATGGATTTTTTGAAAAGGAGGGTCCCCGGACGGATTAGGTGTGCCAAACAACCAGAGCCCGAATTCAAAGCATAATAGCCGTGGTCAAAACAAATTATTCTTGCCCAAACAACACCAGACGCACCACCACACCGACGATCCAATTACATCCACGTCGGCACACAACAGCCGCTACCCACCCCACGTACAGCGCGATAAAACACTCATGCATTTCGGCAGCTGGCAGTGCTTACAAGCATCGGCAATTGTCTGATAAGCGCAATCTTTGTGTTTCTTGGGGGCTGGCTTTCGAGTCTTAAACCGGTGTTCAGTTCAGCTCGGCATCGAAGTCCAAAAACCTTTGCGGCTGTTGGGGTTTGAGCTGAGAACGACAGCTATGGGTTTATGAAGGATCGTTAAGGTTGTACAATTTTAACCTTTTTGTTCGAATGCGGTGGGCATCTTGAGACGCAAGTGGCCACTTCGTATTGCTTGATAAAATATGTGGTTCTTGAATTGCGTGAGTTGGGTGTCATTCATCCTGCAAATTTGCTTCTTCACACTAGCCACAGGTGAGTATGTTGTGGCTTTGAAAGGGATACACTACACGTTGTGAGGCACAAGCACTGTTAAGCATTCATAAAATCTTAAATTTTCTTGCCATTAACCCATTTGCTAATCAGCTAAGATTGCTGAACAGCCATCCCCTCCATAGTACAGATGACTGAGCATTGATTCTAACAGGCAACCTAAATTGTAATCTCCCAGGAAAGACACTTGCCTGCTGTGGTGCCTGAAACAACATCAACAAGCAATTGAAAATCCGGAATGGAGTAGCACCTCAGGGGTTGTGTAGATAGATGGACTGCATGGACAATGGATGGATCATGTAGGTTATGGATATTAACAGATGTAGAAATTATGTATAATCATCACACTGTGGAGCAATTTCAAGTGGCCCTGGACCAAAGCAAGTTCGTGGTCTCATTTGTGCCAGGTTTTCCCCAGCTTTTCTACACTGCACTGTTCCAAGATGTTATAAGTTTATAGTCAGACAGAGAGACAATAGTGGTCCTAATGGCCAGCTACAGCAGGCCTAGTTAAGTATGCTACAATTGGTTCACATATGGTCCTCAAACTTGACACATGTATGCAGTTTTTAGGGTATCCTTTCAAGCCTGCAAATGTCAAAGGCAATCCCATATTCAGCCAAGCCTCCCAGGTGCAGGCAAATGCCTGTGGCTTGTTAGGTGCACCTGTTACATGCAATCTGGTAACAAGTCCTGCACTGCTATGGGTCTTGCTGCAGCATGATTATGCAATTTTTACCTGTAGCAAGAATGATTCCAGCCATTGAATTATAAGTCTTTAAACTGGCTGTGGAGGCTGACCAGCCAGCCTCCACGGCCAGTTTAAAGACTTATATCTAATGAGGCATCAAGTCAGGCTATAAAGTATGTTTCCAGGAAACCATCTTATGTTGAAAACACAGTCTGGCTATGAATACTGGAAAGATGAAAGTGATGGATATCACTTGCCAGCACAGAGTGAGAGCATTAAAACAGCAAGCCCTTATTATATCTAACATTTGTCAGTATTTCAGGATCAACTTTTACCTATGAAGGAATTGAAGATGTTCTCTTCATGGAGAAATATTCTCAGCTACAATCTCATAGGCCTGATGCCAGCTGGTTCTTTTATGCAGGACCAAATAGTCAAGTAATCCTGCAGGGAAAAGAGAAGACCTTCAGTGTTTTTCTTACTGCTTTGTGCTGAAAGTGAATGAACATGCATCTGATGTCCATTTTGTTACTCTATACTAGATCATTCCCATTCATCCTGCACAGAGCAGCTTCATCCTGTTACTTGAAACTTGGAATAATATTCTTATCTTCAAAAAATGACAAGGTGCTAACAGGGAATTCTCACACTGTTGGCTTGATTCCAATCCCCAGCATAGTCATGGAGTGCATGGCAAGTTATCACATGATAAACTGACAAGGCTTCCATCCCAAGCAGCTGGAATCATCTGGCACAATTAAAAAGTGCCTAAAAAAAGAAGACCTTCAGCCAACCTTCAAAAAAAGAAGAAAAACTGACAAGGTTTCCATCCTAAGCAACCATGCAATGGCTAGGGTCGGGAACCCCCAATAAAGTGTACCACACCATTCAACAGCCATAGACCATTTGATTCAATAAGGATAGGTTCTCAGCATGTGTTTGATTGGATATGTCACAAACAACTCAAATCAGACAGAGCTGCTACATCATATCACGGCTTCCGTGACTAGCTGTCAGCAACAAGTGGCTGTATGAGGATGCCTGCAGTATTATCATTCTATGAACAGCAGAGTTCAGCAAGGCTCGGCCGTGGCCAGAGGTCTTTTTGGAACCTACATCAACGGCATGTGTCACGTGTTGAGATCATCTGTCGACTGCCTCGATGACGTTATCAGAGAGCTTGCTTACGGCAGTGTTCACTGTGGCTTCGAAGTCGACCTGGTCCGAAGGGGCATCGACAACTGTCTTGTCCATGGCGATCTCCCTGTAGTGAATCGACGTATGCGGCTCTTCACCTCGCATCCGGCAGTCACAAAAACGCACGTCCGTCGCTGTGCGTACTTTGAAGAAGGCAGCTTTTGAGGACGAAATGGGTATGCGTGTCGAATTCTCTCTGCAATTCCGTAAGCAGGTGGCGTACTCGGTCTCAAAAGCCACCTGAAGATCGTTTGGGCAATTTTGAAATATTTCCCGGACATAAGCGGTCGTGCGATGTTCTTGGCATCGTCTTTGTTGCGGTAGTTTGATCTGCGATGCTTTTAATCGAGCATGCGAGATGCTGGGTGAGCAGATTCATGGACACGTGGAGGCTGTTGGTGGTCGTTAGGTACCGGCCATGCCCGTACGGGCGGACCGGACTTCAGCTGCTGAGGTCTCCCTCCTACCACGGTCGGTGTTGCCGTGACAGCTTTTCCCCATGCCAGCTTCTTCTCGCCGAAGGTGACCGGGACCCGAAATGCTCCCCGGAATGCATCAGCCACTTTCAGGGCCACAAGAGGTCAGCACTGGAAGCTCAACAGAGCGCTCGCGATTTGCTGCACGACTTCCTTACAGGGTTCACAGCCACGTCATGAGTGTGCGGTCCATCGACGATCGCAGCTCTCTTCTGTTGTGGACCGCTCGACGGCCTTCTGTCGGTTAAAGGGCACGGCCAATTTTTGGATTTGAGTTTGGTATAGTGTCGATATGGCATTTTGAACAGAATTAGAGTGCCTCGCTTACATCTCCGCTAGAACTATCACATTTGGCATACAAGCGATGGTCTACATGTCATTAAGCTGCATTTCTCAGTGCTGCATAAAAACCTCAAAAGTGCGACAGTGATACTTTTGAAGGTTTTTGGGTCATATGATATTAAGCAATTTGCATGCTATACGCAACGTTATCATTATGTGTCATTGGCTACCGTGACATGTGCGATTTACATGTGTACCTATTTGTTATTTTGGTTTGGAGGGAAGGGCATTTCCACCACGCCATATTGTGTAACTTGTCTGTTGTTTCGCATAAATAAAAAGTCTGAAATATGTGAAGAATTAAGGCCGGACAATGCATGATACATGACACTAAACTGGTCAGGCAAGTACACAGGAACCAGGGGAGGGGGAGCGTGGCATCGTCAAAGCTGCTCAAACCTAGCATGGTCCCTCCAACGCTGGAGAATGACTTAGGCATTATCTCCATAACATTACATAATAAAGTAATAAATTTAGACGTCCCGCGTCCCGCCGCTCCCCCCCCCCCCCAACTAGTGGGTTCCCGCGCCCCACTTACCTGGGAGGCGGTGCGTGAAGCGCTGTGCGCGCTTAGGCAGTCAGTAAACGTAATAGTCCTGCTACCACCTCTGCGTCAAGTACTGACAGGTGGTGGGGTAAGGATCCTTGAGCTTGATGGTCGATAGAGGCGCGACATCTGGGTGGCATTACTATATTGACTGAAGCCCTGGAGTAGAAAATACACATGTGAAAAAAAAATACACACAAAATAGTCCATGAAGGGTTATGGCGGCCCCTGGCGAATGTACCTTGTGCCTCGGGGCCACCCGTCCCGTGCGGAATCGTCCTCAGTAACAGTGAATGCAACCCCGACCAAAGTGTTGTACATTCTGCGTCGAGGCTTATCCGTTCCGTACGGGATTAATATGGTTTAGAACGGCAGCGAGCTTTGGCCGTAAGCGCGCCGCCGCTATGTCGTCGTTGGCGCCACCTGCACGTAGGTGTCGTCGCTGTGCGACATGGTTCGGTCCTTTGAAATGCAGCAGACTCCCAGCTCTCGGCGCTCTCAGCTTTCGGCCTTCCGAAGCCCAGCGGCAGACTTCGATCCTGGTGCCTGCGTCGGTCCATCGTCAGACCACTGCACGAGAGGGTATGCGCTCTCAGCTTTCGGCCTTCCGAAGCCCAGCAGCAGACTTCGATTCTGACGCCTGCGTCAGTTCTTCGTCAGACCACTGCACGAGGGGGCATGATTTGAAACTGGGCAGCTCCCGGTCGTCCCCAGGAGTCGGCCAGCATGAGGGTCGCAACGGACTGGAACACTCTCCTCCACTGGTGGTGGGTCTGGCCTCGGTGAAGCGATTTAAGGACAGCGTTGGTAGGTCTTAGATAGAAAAAGGCCCGCCGTCCACGACGAGAGCGAGGCGTGAAGTGAACACCGAAGCTCGGCGGACGATAAGTACAGGCCAGCAAGCGTCCAAGACTCCGACTGTTTTATGGTTAGGTAAGGCATACAAACTGAGATATTAAAAAGGTGAAATCGGCGACAGAAACACTTTATGCCTCATTGCTATATGTATCGCATCTCATGGTTTGGCATTTTGATTAACTCTTGTCTGAATAAGTTATGTGTCAAGGTGGAAATACCCTGCTGGGACGGTGAGGTTGGGCCTTCGTCCTGACTACAAGGACAGGTGCTAAGCTTGGCAATAACCTTCATTCTGATCACAAACATTTCCCCACAAGACATTAGACGCATTTTAAAGCATGCGATTTCATTGGGAAATGCTAAGTATTTCCAGAGGGATAATAAGGTTGACGTTACCCCTCTTCAAAGCAACGTCTGCCGTTCTGACTACCCATTGCTTTAGCGCCGCTTTTTGGAGGGAATGATCACTTGTATTTTATACTTGTGCATATAATAGCTTCCATTATCGCTTGCATCATTTATGGATAGCTTTCCTTCTCTTCATACGGCGGTTTTATGAGTTTGCTGCCCCATTTGTGACGTGGAGTACCTCTGTCGTGACACGCAGTTTCTAGGCCGGTCTGCAAATATGTGCCGAGCAGACTTGGTCGACACTTACGCTATATACGTCTGTGAGGGGTCGTGTTTCGTGTTCCTGACATGGATCCCGTTATCATCACGCGGTGTCGGTGGCACGGGTCCTCCGTGTCGCTTGCCTAGTTTTGTCGCGGAACAGTACACAGGCATTTGTGGGAACTCATGATTAAGTCCTATATATGAAGCAGCGATGCGCGGTCAAATTACTGTTTTGCTCGGAGCGGTGCGCGTCGTCGGATCGCGTGCGCGACTCGCCATATTGCCATTGCCATTTTCCGGGCCGCGATCACTTTCCAGCCGTGTGTTATGTAATGCGTACGTGACGTGCGTTTGGTCACGCACCGGAACGGACCTGTTTTCTATCTTCACGTATGTCCGCTGTTAAGTTCCTGTGTAGTGCACCAGCCATCGGAATCGCTCTTCCAATGGCGGTTTATTTGTTTGTTTTGTTTCAGCGTCATGCCTATACTACATGGCGGAGCTGGTTGAGGAGTTCTCAGTGGCTGCGGGTCGCTTCATCCGCTGTACCATTGCGGTAAGTCGTCTAATGTGTCTCGGCTTTTGTGTAATGCCGCGAATTGTCATGTGTGTCCAATTGCTGATGCCATACTTTTATCTGAGTGTTTAAGTATTAAGCACACCTGCACCTACAGTGCTGCATACATGAGCATCGTAATTTGTGACAAAGCATGCGAAAGGTGATGTGGGTTTCCACAGCCGCCAGTCGGCAGTATGCTGCGACCGGCAGAAGCTGTGTTGCCAGAGCCGTGGGTGGTTGCATGGCTTCACGCCGGTTTCACCTGGAAAGGATCTCAAGCGGGCCGAGCGAGGGCGTCTCTCACTAGGTGCACGTTGGACTGCGGTGTCGGGTGGCCGTAGGTTCCTGGCTGGCCGCGCCGAACATCGCGAGTACTGGGGAGGCTTTGTTCTGCGCGGTTCAGAGGCCGCCCTCACGCCAGCGGCCGATCACACAACGGCGTACGGTGTACGGTTTCAAACTTCAACGGCGTTGCACATCTGCACATCACTCGGACCACGCGGGCGGGGTGCGGCGCTGTGTGCGCATACTGCATGTAGTCGACGCCCCACACGCACTGCTGCCGCACGGTCACCTGCGCACGGTAACGATCGACGTGTTCAGCTACGTCTATCTTGCATTGCTCGATGCCAAAGAACACGTAGCTCTTCGAGACAAAGTGAATTGATAAATTTATCATACTTTCGCTCAGGGCTGTCTGCGCAGTGGGAGCCGCCTCCCACCACCGGCACTTGGTGATTCCAGTTCCTGTTCAGAGCAGCACTTCGCAAATTTGAGCTTACTTCGATCCTGACATGGGTCGTTATGGCCCAACCAGGCATCGGGTCCCAGTCAGGAGGATACCATTCGCAACATTCCATAATTTAACTGGGTTGGTTATCAGTACACAGCATAAGTTAAGATGCAGTACGTTTGGCGGATGTTATGTGCACTAGTGTCATAATTACACCGACTTTTAGTCACTTTGCATTGTTTGGTCGACCCATCATGGTGGACAAGATGGGCTTCAGATTCAGTGCGTTCGATCTACAAAGCCATTTCACCTCGTTTCATTGAAACAGGATTCGACTCCTTGTCGATCTGGAATCGTCAGGCGAGGTCAGCCACCGGTCCGCTGGGCGTGCCAGCGACGGGCCGGCAGGTGAGCGGCCGGCCGACTCCAGCCGGCAGCCGGCGGTGGCGGCACCTGTCTCGGGGTGTCCGCCAGCCGCTCGAATCTCGTGGCGGCGGCCGACTCGGCCTGTCTGGATTCGCTCCAGCGACCGGAAGGTGCTGGGCACGTAGCGCGCGCGGCGGGCGGCGCACGGCCCGCACCTGCCGGCCAGCGTCTGCCACGGCCCGCGCGGAGCCGGCAGCGACAGCCGCTCCCTCGCCAACTGGGTCTGTGGCTCGGGACGGACCCTTGCGGCTGGCGGCCGCCGGGTGGTACGCAGGGCGGAGCGAAGAGCACCCAGGGGGCCCACTGGGCTCCTGGGTGAGACCCGTGGGACCGTGAAGGCGGGTGGCGCGAGTCCAACCGAGTGCTCCCCGCGCTAGGTCGGCAGCGTGGGAACAGTAACCAGAAATCTGCCAACTGCCTTCGCTACCCATTGGGCCGTGAAATTTGACCCAATGCGGCGAAATGACTGATGGGTTCTCTTTGATTTTGGAAGGCGCTGACGATTGCGTAGTCTCAGGGACGGGCGCGATTGAGAGTGCTGAGAATGAAGGGGCGATTCGTGTTGGAAGCCAGGGTTTGCCGTGCTGGGCTTGTCCACAGTCAAATGGTTGGTAGGATCAAGGAAAGTATCCTACTTTCTCCTGAAGCGCGGCAATGTGGCTGGATACGTTGGGTCAGGCGTTTCAAGACTTGCAGGAACGATGGTGCTTTTTCGATCGAAGAGCTTAGAGGCAAAATAGTCACTAATATGGGTTCCCAAATTTGCTTTTCTGAAGGGAGCTAAAATTGTAATAAAAAGTATCGAAAATGACGCAAAAAGGCATTGAAAAGCGTGAAAGTAAGCATAACATCACCGTCCCAAGGTACGTAAAGAATGACTTTCATGAGACACGTGATGGATAAAATAATCCCACTTCCGCAATACCACATGGCCTCATGCTGTACTCAAAATGCCCCAGAAGTTCTGCAACATAAACAACGAACGGGCGATAATTGACGAGAACAGTACTGTGCGAAGCTGTTTTAAAATGCTGCACAGTTCTATGGTAAGGCATGGCTTTAGGACCGGGTGATCGGACCGCGCCGGATACCATGAGGGAAGTGTTCCACATTTGTGTGGGATTTTAAATTGAAATAGCCATCTCGGAGAACGTTCTATGTAGTTCACAACCCTCCCCTTTCTAAGGCCTAAAACGTTCTAGCTTCTGAGCTACGCGGCCGCGAATATGTGCAGACTATTTCGGGAAACTATTTCAAGGTCACCCAGGCATCCGTGCACGATAATAACGTCATTCAAATCCTGTCATTCGATTGGCCGCACAGCAATCAAGACCAAGCCAAATATGGTTGTCGATCGTTCATATGTGGCGTTGGTAAGTACGATTTCCAGACAAAACGGCCGGCAATTGGTTTTCAATCTTTGTTGTGCAAGGTACGATGACGTCATCTAACAATGGTGTATTGAGCATATTTACTAAACAGAGAAATTGTGTTGTCTGGGGTAGCCTTTTCCACTTAAAAGTATGCTGATATGCCGATATTTATAAGTTAGCTCCTTTCATCATATCTGATGCGTGCTTTAATGTATTCAAATATGGAACATTTTCTTTAATGAGTATGATTTAGACCCCCTTCCCTTCGTATTCTCACAGTATTGATAGAATAGGACGTCAGTAGAAAAGGTGGTGCTCTTACATCTTACGTTGTCGGACCCCGGCCGTTTGAGACGTTGACAATATGTCCTGAGATTATCCACTTCCAGCACCACTGGAAATGGGGCGGTGTGAGCCAGTGCAGCTTGCCTTGCTTGGGCAGGCCCCCAAAACGGGCAGACCAGTGGCGGCCGTCACAGCTGTGGAGAATGGCGGCCAATGGATCCGGCCGGCGCCTGTAATTCCAGCTAGGCTCGAGAGTGGCGTAGCTTATGTTCGAATGGGTCGGTGAACACGGCGGGCACGCTTGTCCACTTTGTTTACATCGTGACTGCTCACGAGAGTCGAATTATAACAGTCATAACGGTTATCGCACAACACATTTTGTTGCCATGCGCGTTGGGTTTGCACACTCCAGGTAGGAGAAAATCAAAATATTCTGGAGAGAATTTCAGCCAGATATCTTTTAAATAACTGCCGGGATAGACCGTGATTTCGTACAGCCAACGTTTTATCTTGGTGTTTGAGCGTAGGCCTGAAGTTGGTAGACATAAGCGATATCAGATTTCAACAAGTTAAAAATGTATCCCAAGACGATGCCGATTTGTATGCTAGCACTGCGAGTAAAGACTCAGCCATTTGTTGAAAATGAAAAAGTTACTGGGGGGGGCTCCTGAAGCAACACGGGCCCGGCGGGACCGGGGCGGGCCCCTGAAGCGACAACGTGACTGGCGGGACCAGGGCGGGCCCCGGAAACAACAATTGGCTAGTGGGCGTTACGGCTCGCTCAGTCTGGGCTTAGTCGTCACCACTCGACAACGCGTGCATGCACACACACACACAAAAAAAAACTGCGCCATAACCGTATTTTTCGCAAAAATTGTGCAGCTGTTTTAACTTAGATGCTACTTCCACTGACAAGTTGCTTCAAAGAATACATTACATAATGCAGAAATACCTGATAAGGAAATGCGAGAGCTATAATTTTTTTGGTGCACCCAAGGTAAGAATTATCCCATCATCCTAGGTAAAATCGCGTTTCGACATTTAAAAACGTGTTGTAGAGAAGATGCGAGCACTGGGCGCGCTGCACGCGAGTTCAGCTGTGCTCGCATAGCTACGGATCGGCATATGTGAACGGTCGTCCGTTTGTCAAAATATGCGGCGGAAGTCAATGAAATCTATCTCCAGCATGTGCTTATTAACCACGGTGTGTGTGTGTGGGTGTGGGTGTGGGTGTGCGTGGGGGGATCTGGGCAGTGCCCCCTGTTGCAAACTGCCACTTTAAGCTCATACCTCTTTAGCTCGCCCTTTGGTGAAGCGGGGATCAATTTTATCCTTCCGAAGGTTTTGGCGCAATGGTTCCCGAAGGGCGCGACGTATCCGCGCCAAATTTTGTATAGCTGTAAAAAATGAATAGCGAATTGTTGTTATCAAAAATTTAGATGTGCTTTGCGAGCTCACTCACCTAAGGTAAGTCAAAAACAGGCCATGGGTTCAGCGAAGACGATTTATAGGGAATCGTTTAATTTGGTGCAACACTGGAGTGTTAGACGAAGCTCTGAGGTAGTTTCGTAGGCAACACAACAGTTGAGTAAACAAATTCAATTGACTAGGGTCAGACTTGAGGTCAGACCGAGGTCAAAATCAACCTGTTTTTTACTCCAGAGCTTGCTGTGTGGGGTAGTTTCTGGTGCTCATCTCGAATTTATTGATGATAAAATCCGCATTATACATCTGCTATGGACTTCTCGAAGGTCAGAATAGGTCCCTGACCCAAATTGACCCAGGTTGACGTTTTGTTTTTAGGGACACACTGCCCAGCGTAATCTTTGACGCTTATTTAGATACAAGGCTCAAAGCACTCTTGTATAATTTTGGTCACTATGACCTTCGGAAGGGCAGCAAGATCAACGATCTTAAGTGAGCATCCATGTCCTTTTGCTTAGAACAGGCATCTAGGTTCTGGAGGCACTTCGAACATTAACCCGGAGTTTTACCTTGTGTGACCTTATTTGATCCAAAGGTCATGACCAAGGAACCTCAAACTTTGATATAAGCGAGCTCACGTACAGATAAACACGCCATGTAAATATGATACATTGAGCTCTCTAAGCTTCCCAGATCTCGGGGGGTCAAACTGACCCTCTACCCGAGCGAAGAGCATTCCACAGACCTCCCGGGCG